GGGGGGGGGGGGGGGGGGGGGGGGGTCCTGGGGTGCCCGTGACCCCCCCTTGGTAGGCCTTCTTTTGAGCAAACAACCTAAAATATTCAGGTGGCGAAAACGCCATGACAATATCTTGGCCGTAAAAGCCGCTGTTGAAAAGCCCACTTTTTTAAAATTTGTTTTTTTGTAAAGTATTTTTGTCAACGGCTCTTGTCTTTAGTTAATATGGGCCTTCATGCCGCGAGAATACGTGGTATAATACGTGGAGGTTGACATGACAATCTGGTGAGTAGCCTCTGTGACCCCCCCTTTGAAAAATCCTGGCTACGCCCCTGACGACTGGCTACAATTAAACGCCTCCAATTACCTTATATAGCTTTCTTCCAGGAATCCAGTATTTAGTTTTTGTCTCCTCAAAACTGTAAGGTCCCACGTTATCGTTGATGTACAATGAGCCCTGCTTTGGTCTAAAGTCCATGTTGTCCGGATCCATTAGTTGCTTTCGTACGTCACCAATAACATTGCCTGTGAGGATACCATTCATGTCGTAAAGCACACCCCCGTGTTCACCGCCGTTTGCAACGTCGGCGGCGTTGTACACGACAGCTGTGTTCTGATTGACTTCAACGGGGTTTTCTCTCACGTATCTGAAAAATGACAAATTTCCAAGAATATCTACACTGTACTTGTGTTTGAGGATCAATTTATGATTCTGGGAAACTGCCGACCTACCCCTCCCTTAAGCTAATATTAACACTTACTTCTTATCTAGGGCAAAATGTTAGCTTAGGGGAGGAGTAGGTGGGCAGTTCCCAGAAGCCTAAATTGATCCGTGTTTGACAGGTGTAAAAGAAGGGAATTTAAGCAAAGTCGTTTTTGAGTGATGCAGGTCAACCGGAAGTGAAGCGTTTTCCCCTGTTATCGTATTTATTCGATTAACCGCCCTGGGCGCTTATTAAATTTTCACCATTTTCAACAAGTGAAGTATGTTTATTTTGCAACAAAACAATAAATGCTAATAACAAAACGCGAAAAAGTAACAAAGCAGGTTTCTGTAAAATACACTGAAGAAAACTCCGTCCTCGGGGAAGTCTCTTATTAGAATTTATTCACTCAAGTGGGTGGGGTGGGGGTGAGCGATCATTTGAGTTTGATTGGGAGGAGGAGGGGGTGGGCGCTTATTCGAGGCTGGGCGCTTATTAACGTTTCTGCCTTTAGGGTGGGCGCTTATTCGAGGTGGGCGCTAATTCGAGGTTGGGCGCTTATTCGAATAAATACGGTATATATCTTGACACTACCACATTCGTAATGCGTAGTGTCTTTGTAGTTTTAGAGACGACTTGCCCACAAACCACTGCCGAATTTTGCAAAACGTCCGCTTCCGGTTGACTTGTGTTTCTCAAAGCCGTCTATGCTTAAACTCCCTAGAAAGGAATATTGACTCCCCAGGGACTGGGCGTAACCGGCATATAGGCCTGTAGGTCATTGGCCTACAATTGTTTTTAGTTAACCATAATGAATACGTGTCGTTGAAGGCACGCATTTTTATTTGCTTTGAGGAATTTTCCAGAGGTATGCAAAGTTTTCCAAGTCCGTAGGCTCTATTACCCGTCGCTGTTCGGGAACTGAGCCCGAGCTCCTCTCCTCTGGGGACAACCTCGTCCCCAGGGCTTTCCCTAGGGCTCTTCCGCCCCTTCTTATTTTCTCTATTAGGCGTTATTTCGCGGGAAAACCACTGATGAAGTCGCAAAATGTCTGTTGTTTTCTTAGGCAAGAGTTTTCTTTATAGAGGTGTTTGTTATGAGATTCTCCTCTGCAATAATTCGAAGCAAAACTTACTTTAAAACACAGAGGGTACACTTCTCGCTGCCATCATGATCCCCGTCCTTATCAAACTTATGGAAAACCAAGTTATGGTCGACCATGTGTTTATATCCTTTCACCATCAGTCCATTTGTTCTCCAGACCACATTCTGTTTCATTGTTCCCTTTTCTCCCGTCTTGGGCGGTGCCCCGTCAAAGCGCAGCCCGTATTTAGGACTGTAATGAATCCAGTTTTGCTGTAATATGATATTCGTTTGACGTTTTCTCATCACCTGTATTCCAGCGCCGTCATGTTGCAGCATACCCCAGCACTGTCGACTAATGTCATTCAGCTTGGCCACAGAGGCAAAACCCGCACGGTATCCTACACTCGCGCCATTGAATCGCAAGGTGTTTCTGATGAAGTTGTCTCCCTTACTTTGGGACACCACGGTTCCTGCACCTATGGTGATAGGGTAACATTGTTAAGAGCTACTCGAAGAGCCTACAATCCTTATCTCCGGAGTGCTAATACGCATGCACGGCACGCATGTAGTCGGTGTTCGTTTGGTGGTCCACTGAAAATGAATGGAATGCAAAGATCACAGTCTCGCACATTTGGACCTTCTATCAGTGGTAATCTGATTACGTGGACGATCATGCGCTTTATGATCTTCTAAGCCTTAGAAACGACAACGGCGACGGCAACAAAAACTTTAAAAGTAATTGACGAATAAGCATATCCGGCCAACAACTCGTGCAGCACACTTTTTTTGTACATTTTTTTCCGTCACTGCATGACCTCAACGTTTTTTTTTTCAAGCGACAATTTATAGCTGACGTAAAGACAGGATGCGTGACGACAAGCGGGTTGGAGTAATCGCGAAAAAGTTTGAAAAAAAGCCACGTTTTTTTAATTGTAACGTTTTCGCTAAAACGCCATAATGAGATTGAAGTCGGACTGAGGTCTCTTTGACCAACCCCTGAGGGAACATACTCCTTTTTTACGTCCTTAGTGGTTCTTGCACGTGGAATGTCTAACCATTTGTTGATTAACTAGCAATGTTAACTCTCTTCCTCTATCAGTTTAAAGATCTAGGATTAAGACAGACTTCGAGGTAAGGCAGGGGAGGTAGTGGGGGCGCTCACTAGCTAAAGTAAAGTACCTCTCATGGCTCCGAGGGCGTAGTTTTTGGTCTAACTAAAAGATGGGGTAGGAAACAGTCCCTAGATCCATGGGTCACTGAATACCGCCTAAGATACCACGAAACCTGAGGGAGTACTACCTTATATAGGCCATATAGGTATGTGCCTTCCCAAAGGGTATGCTTTTTGCGCCGTTTCGGTCTGAAAACGGCTGTAGACTTTGTCCATTGTGGTCTGGAAACGGGTATGGCTTTCGAGGGAACTACGGGAGTATATGAGCGTATTTTTCGTTTCAATTCCAAATGAATAAGAAAGAAAGAGCATTATGAGAACTCGAAATGGATTTTAAGAAATCTTCTTTGTTGGCGTAATTCTAATCTAAGTACATAATGACGTAATTTCTGTCTATGAAGACAGAAAGAGGATATCTATTTAAGAGGCTAGGTTTGAGAACTGTTTTGGAAAATGGCATTTTTGGCCTGAAATAGGGTCAGGATTTCGAGAATTGGGTGGCACACCTACAGCAAGAATTACCAAGAGAACCCCCTTCCTCCGGGCACGAAACCCACCACAGAACACAGACGACAGGTTGATCTAATTGTATTAAAACGCGATGGGTTACCTCCAGTGGCGACATCCATGTTATTTCCAGTCCAGTCATTGAACTCAAATAAGTTATTTTCCACCAGGTTATCCACACCGTTATACTCCAGCGCCATTCCATCTGTGCCATAAAAAGTGTTCTTTATTATCCTGGAGGTACCAGTGTTACCGACGAAAACCTTCGTCCACTTAGGAGGCGAACGGTCTTGTAGCATGCGCCGACTGTATGACGGGAAGCGAAAGTTCAATGAATGAAGCGTTAGGTTGTTGACGAAGTTTTTTCTGGTGAAGGAGATGGCCTGTAATGTCGTCGCAAAGAACGTCATATCTTTAATGATCACGTGACTGCTGCTGGTGATGGTGAATGCAAAAGACTGGACCTTTGTGAAGTAATAGAAGAAGTAGGCTATGTTTAGGCTATACTGGATTGCTTTACGTGCTGACAAGTGGAGTAATCCGGCATAGTATGAACACCTATATCAGATTATGGTTTTCGTGCTGGCACAAAACCTAACCGGTATAGTGTTAACATAACCTTAAACACGCTGACTGCTGGCAAATAGACATTTTTAGCTTGTATGTTTAGCCTGTGTACGGATGTCCCCCCTCCCTCAGAAAAAAATCGGGAGAACAGACGTCTGTGAATCGCCGTCGTTAATCGTGTTAACATTGCAACCAATCAGAGGCTTTCCCAAACATTCTGGGGAAACGGGAACGCGATTAACGACGGCGATTCACAGACTGTTCTGTTCTCCTGATTTTTTTCTGAGGGAGGGGGGACGTCTGTACACAGGTTATGTAAGTTTTGTTTTCCCGTTTCAGACCATGTTATGTTACCCCAAAGAACAGTTTCTTTCAAATGTCGTCGTACCCACGGTAATATGTATGCGTAATTTATGAAACGACAAGGGTAAATTACTTTTAAGAACATCACGTGGTCTGAATAAGGAAATTAAAATATTCAAGCCGAAGAGGTCAAAGAGGTCTGTTTAGGACTTTCAGGTGCTACCTTACGGCGGTTTTCTTCACAGTAGGGTGGACACTGTCCACAGGAATGAGACAACCACACACAGTCTTTCTATTCCATGTAAGTATGTTTTAAAGCGTGCGTAGATCTTCACAATTCAAGCCCCGCGAGAGCTGGAGGGAGACGCGAGTGAAGTCTGGGTACTAGATCAGAGTATACTATATCACTCTGAAGAAATGCGGTTGGTTTAGTACCTTTCCTCTGACGTCACGTCCCTCCGGTGAGCCTCCATCTGGTGTCATGACGTACAGCGTTTTACTTGTTTTGTCGTAAAACCACTCTCCTGGATTATCAAGAAACTCGAGCTTATCTTCCAAGAAATATATGCAGTTTTTAGGTTTGAAATTCAACTTAGGGCCAAGGTCATCCCTGTATGTAAATCTGTCACCACCTGAAGTAAAAGAAAAACATCAAAAGCGAACAATTTTAGTTGATATTGCCACATGAACTTGTCCGATTGAATTGCTTTTGTCATCGTATAGATTCAATTCCCACTGAGTACAATTAATCAGTTTAATTGTCATCTATTTGCAGAAATACAAATAAAAGCGATAAACAGAAGTACGAAAAAAAATGGTCACATCTATCTTTTCACTGAGAAATCATTCACAGACTCAAATATTACGAGCCTCTCGCTTTCATTCACTTCCAATACTACACTTGCCACTTAAGAAAGGTACTGAAGAGAACTGCAGTCGAAACGCGTCCCGCAATGTTTTATGGGATCTTTACTAGGGACGCGCCGGCCAGCTATTGGACAATTTTTTCCCTGTTCCTAATAAAAGTCTCAGAAGCCTTTGCAAGCTTAATTTCCTTCTCGTTTCTAAGCGCCCGGAGCCTGGTAAGGATTTACCTATCTGGTGCTTTAATACTCGTCTTGTAAAAGTGCAGAAACTCCCAACATTCAACACTGCCATTGCGCCAGTTGCGTCCAAGCCACTCTCAGCCAGCTTGTGACTGCCTCCTCCGTCTATCATGAGCCCGCGAGTGGATTGCGTCGAAGAATGNTGAACTTGTCCGATTGAATTGCTTTTGTCATCGTATAGATTCAATTCCCACTGAGTACAATTAATCAGTTTAATTGTCATCTATTTGCAGAAATACAAATAAAAGCGATAAACAGAAGTACGAAAAAAAATGGTCACATCTATCTTTTCACTGAGAAATCATTCACAGACTCAAATATTACGAGCCTCTCGCTTTCATTCACTTCCAATACTACACTTGCCACTTAAGAAAGGTACTGAAGAGAACTGCAGTCGAAACGCGTCCCGCAATGTTTTATGGGATCTTTACTAGGGACGCGCCGGCCAGCTATTGGACAATTTTTTCCCTGTTCCTAATAAAAGTCTCAGAAGCCTTTGCAAGCTTAATTTCCTTCTCGTTTCTAAGCGCCCGGAGCCTGGTAAGGATTTACCTATCTGGTGCTTTAATACTCGTCTTGTAAAAGTGCAGAAACTCCCAACATTCAACACTGCCATTGCGCCAGTTGCGTCCAAGCCACTCTCAGCCAGCTTGTGACTGCCTCCTCCGTCTATCATGAGCCCGCGAGTGGATTGCGTCGAAGAATGCGCCCAGTTCTGACTGTCAAAAATACTTTTGTCAGACCATAGGGCGTTTGGCCAGCGGGCGTTTGTCATCATTTCACCGTCAATAAACAGCTGCCAGATATCCTGATTTAAGACCGTTTTATAGGCACCTTCGGCAAATTTCTCCCATTTCGTAGGGTTCAGCGGTATAGTGCCATCCACAAAAGTTGTACCACTTGGGTCGCCGCGAATAATTACGGGATCGTCTTTGGTGCCATGTTTGTTCATGATCGTCACGCTCTCATGGTAACGACCAGGTTGAATGACACATTCGTCGCCAGGCTTTTGAAGATTGTCAACGCAGGCTTGAATAGTACCAAGTGTCTTATCATAAAACCTTGTAAAGCTGCTTCGTTTTACACTATCTGGGAGACTACCGACGGAAAAGACTTTGGCGGTGACTTGAATTATTACTATGGACATAATACTCGAAACCAGAAATAGCTTGAGTTGAATTTCTATGGGAGTAATTGAACGCATTTCTTACCCTGCCTTTTTCAGTTCACTGAAAACCAAATAAAAATAGGGCACTAATTAACCTTTTTTCAACTCAGGAATAGAAACACCGACAACGATTTTTAAAATCTCTGGTCAGTGTGACCAATAAAGCAAATTGACGGTTAAGAGGAACCAAAGGTAAATCTGACCAAATCACCAACCTTGTAAAAGGTTAAGAGCTGACTTCATACTCACCTGGCTTTAACGAAATACAAGTGTGCTAAAAAAAATGCGCGATTGAAAAGCGATTGAACAGCTGATTACTAGATGAGAACTGAGTGAAAGCTTGAACAAAAAAAAAACAACTTAACTTGTAATGAGCTTTGTTGTAGTCTGGATCCGATACTTAAAACATGTCAAAGAATTTAAGGCATGTTATGTACTTGCTCTTAAACAAACATATTACACCATCGTTTTGCCTGTAAAGAACAACTAACCAATCGACCGACTAAAGTCGCTCAAAACAACTTAGTTTGTTCATTAGAAAAAAACCTTTTACTGCTCTATGGAGTTGTCTAGTTTTTGTCAGTAGCACGAGTTGTGGGGAATTAAAATACCTTTTCAAACGTTTTCGTGAGGGCACGGATTTGGATTTTGCTGGAAGAAAGCTTGAAAAGGAAAACTAAATTCCTTGATGTTTTCAGGTGTTAATACCGGCTTTGTATGTACACAAAGTACCTGAAAATAATGGGCCACCAAAATGGATTCCTTATTACATGGATTGACTGATTGTTTAATTTTGTAAAGCGTTCGGAAGCATGCAGTATAGCCTGTCATGGTTTCATCGTCGGCCATCTAATCTGTCTATATACAGCGAAAATACTCGGTTTGCACTCAAGCTTGTCCTTTTCCTTAAGGTGGCTTATTACAGTTTTCGGATGAAAGCTATCGACTTTTTCAGATCGAAACATTTTTAGCTGCAACTGATGTAAATTTTCATTTTACCACCTAAAAACATTTTATTGGGGAGTATAACGCGAAATATAGTGATCGCGCGCTCAAAAAGGGGAGTGGAATTTAGACCATTAATTAAGGCTTTTTTCTTAAAAACTAGCCGTACGACCATCCGACAAAGTTTGGAAATCAGACTGTGTTTAAGGAATAGTTAGTCTCCCACGCAGCTGCAAAGAGTGCTTTTCGCCCCCTTAAAATTCGCTTCAGCTAGCAAGAAAAAAAAGGAATCGAAGGTGAAGTCATGAAAAGATGAAACCTATCTCGCCCTTTCTTCCTTTACTCTATAATTTGCCAATAAGCAGTACTGGGCACAATTAAACAAGTGATTCAGCTGAATAACCTTTAGCGAAATATATTTGCTTTAGTTATATATACACTACACACTATTATTAGTGAATTGTCCTTAAAGTCAACTGCGCTAAATTGAAAAGAGCGGTCGTCTTTTAAATGACAGCTTTGTTGTAAAAGAATGATCTTTTTTCCTATCCTTAATCAATACAGCAAGTCCCCGACAAAACTAACTGTACGCTGATAAATGAACTTTATAACTACTTTCTTTTTTTTTGCAATGAATGTCTCCAACCTTTTAATGTAAACGTTTTGTCCTTTCAACATAGCTTTTTAATAAGAGAGAATGTGTGAAAGCTGCTAAAATTGGGCTTAATCTCAGGTTAACTTTTACACGATGATTTGAATAATCATACAAGGCAGAATGGCATCCACGTGCTCAAACGTTAGAGGAAAGGAGAGGCTACAAGGCCCTTGCGGATTTGAGCGATACAGCCTTCCATTTGAACTAGCCTTTTTGATCATTAAAAGAAAGTATTAAAAGGCTTTAGCTACCGACGGAAAAGACTTTGTCGGTGACTTGAATTATTACTATAGACATAATACTCGAAACCAGAAATAGCTTGAGTTGAATTTCCACGGGAGTAATTGAACGCATTTCTTACCCTGCCTTTTTTAGTTCACTGAAAACCAAATAAGAATTGGGTACTAATTAACCTTGTTTCAACCGAGGAATAGAAACACCGACAACGATTTTTAAAATCTCTGGTCGGTGTGACAAATAAAACCAATTGACGGTTAAGACGAACCAAAGGAAAATCCGACCAAATCACCAACCTTGTAAAAGGTTAAGAGCTAACCTCATACTCACCTTGAATAAACGAAATACAACTGTGCTAAAAAAAACAGCGCGATTGAAATTTAAGAACAGCTGATTACTAGATGAGAACTGAGTGAAAGCTTGAACAAAAAGAACAACTTAACTCGTAATGAGCTTTGTTGTAGTCTGGATCCGATACTTAAAACATGTAAAAGAATTTAAGGCATGTTATGTACTTGCTCTTAAACAAACATATTACACCATCGTTTTGCCTGTAAAGAACAACTAACCGATCGACCGACCAAAGTCGCTCAAAATAACTTAGTTTGCTCATTACAAAAAAAAACTTTTATTACTTTATGGAGTTGTCCAGTTTTTGTCAGTAGCACGAGTTGAGGGGAATTAAAATACCTTTTCAAACGTTTCCGTACGGGCACGGATTTGGATTTTGCTGGAAGACAGCTTAAAAAGGAAAACTAAATTCCTTGATGTTTTGAGGTGTTAATACCGGCTTTATAAGTACACAAAGTACCTGAAAATAATGGGCCACCAAAATGGATTCCTTATTACATGGATTGACTTCGCGAGATTACAATTGTTTAATTTTGTAAAGCGTTTAGAAGTATGCAGTTTAGCCTGTCATGGTTTCATCGTCGGTCATCTAATCTGTCTATATACAGCGAACATACTCAGTTTGCACTCAAGCTTGTCCTTTTCCTCAAGGTGGCTTATTACATATACAGTTTTCGGATGAAAACTATCGGCTTTTTTAGATCGAAACATTTTTAGCAACTGAAGTTCTCTACTGAACTTTTAATCACTGAAATTGATGTAAATTGTCATTTTACCACCTAAAAACATTTTATTGGGGAGGATAAGGCGAAATATACTGACCGCGCGCCCAAGAAGGGGAGTGGAAACTAGACCATTAAAGGCTTTTTCCTTAAAACTAGCCGTACGACCATCCCACAAAGTTTGGAAATTAGTAGTCTGTGTTTAAGGAATAGTTAGTCTCCCCCGCAGCTGCTACGAGTGCTCTTCGCCCCCCAAAAATTCGCTTCAGCCAGCAAGAAAAAAAAGGAATCGAAGGTGAAGTCATGAAAAGATGAAACCTATCTCGCGCTTTCTTTCTTTACTTCATAATAAGCCAATAAGCAGTACTCGGCACAATTAAACAACTGATTCAGCTGAAAAAGCTTAAGCGAAATATATTTGCTCTAGTTATATATACACTAGACACTATTATTAGTGAATTGTCCTTAAAATTAACTGCGCTAAATTGAAAAGAGCGGTCGTCTTTTAAATGACAGCTTTGTTGTAAAAGAATGATAATTTTTCCTATCCTTAATCAATACAGCAAGTCCCCGACAAAACTAACTGTACACTGATAAATGAACTTTATAACTACTATTATTATTATTTTTTTTGCAATGAATGTCTCTAACCTTTCAATGTAAACGTTTTGTCCTTTCAACATAGCTTTTTAATAAGAGAGAATGTTTGAAAGCTGCTAAAATTGGGCTTGATCTCAAGTTAACTTTTACACGATGATTTGAATAATCATACAAGGCAGAATGGCATCCACGTGCTCAAACGTTAGAGGAAAGGAGAGGCTAAAAGGCACTTGCGGATGCGAGCGATATAGCCTTCCATTTGAACTAGCCTTTTTGATCATTAAAAGAAAGTATTAAAAGGCTTTTTGCCTTCTGCGCTGTTTGCTTTAACTGTTTATTTTGCCAAAGAAAATAAATAAGGCGATTTTTTTTAACAACTATTTACTCAACGAGGATACCTTGGCATTTTTCCGTTTGCCATCTCCAACACGTTTTGTCTAAGAGAAACTTAAAGCAAGGGGCACACATACACCAACCCACTTGGACCAAGCTCCTTATTGGGGGGAAGAGGAGGAAAAACAAAGTGAAACAGCAAAAATCGGCGAGCGAAGCGAGCAGAGTGGTGGACTGGGGAGGGGGAGGGCGGCGCCACCCTTTTCTCTCCCCAGACTACCGCTCAGCTCGTTTCGCTCGCCGATTTTTTTTTCCTCCTTTTCCCCCACTGAGAAGCTACTTTTTGTCCTAGAAAATGAACCAATTCCAGATATGTGTGAACAAATGGTACTACAAGAATACGTTCTTCAATAACAGAGATAATTATTTCAACAACCTCATTTCATTTCTTTGTTTAGTTTGTCCAGCTGCAGTTGCTATCCCACCCTTAGCGGTAATGGTTACGGAATTCTTTGTCTAGATTACCTTGGAACTGTTAGAGTGTCTACGTTTACTTAGCACCGGCCACTCAAAAGAGGCGGATGTTTTGATTTCGTTAACTAGATTTCCACAGCTGCGTAAAGACCAATCTTTCAGTTAATTACTGTAAATAAATCAGACTGAAACGTGACAATTTTGTCTTTTGTTCATAATAGGTTTTCCAGTACATTTTAAGCACAAACAAGCACTCTTGGACGACTAAGGGACTTCGCCACAAACAGGGCTTAGACGACAAAGGGACTTCGCCACTAACAGGGTAAGATTTACAGACCGGATTTACAAAATATTTCAAGAGAAGTTGAACGTCTTTTTTAATTAACTACCATCTCAACACATTAAGTCATTTAATTCTGATGGCAATTTGTAATCAGATTTGGCCTTCCGATTCGCTTTTGAAAAATTTGTTAATCTACAGAAACATAGAACGACTCATTATCATCAGTTTTATGGATAGAAGGTTTAAAAAGTTTTTATGTATATTTTAAATCACCTACCAGTATACTGCCGCGAATTTAGAATATCTTTTGGAACTACTAACCAGTCAGCAAAACCTACAGACCTAAAAAAAGGTATTTTTCGCCTTTTATTGACGTTTAGTTTTCAATACTTCGATTACACTCATATAGACGGAGCGGGGCTTCCATTTTGCTGGAAAAGACGATCTGAAATGTGTCTTAAAATAGATTGGTCGGTGAAAACGCAGTGATACAGGCCTTGTATGGGAGTCGCTCTCTCCACATTATGGGTTCCTTTAAAAAGTTGATTGAATTTATTTCCCACTCAGGACGGAATAGACCTGGACTAGCGCGTTTCTGATTCATGGCTTCTCAAGCAGTTAAATCGCTTTTACTGCTAGGAGTTGTTGTCATAGTTACAGTACAGGTGTCTGCCAAACTGTTCTATGTAAACGGTCCTCAAGACAGGATCCAGGACTGCGTGGACAGCCTGACAGAGCCTGGAGACGAGTGCGTCATTCAGCCAGGCGTGTATCATGAACACGTGACCATCAAAAACAAGCAAGGCAGTGAGGGCAGCCCCATCGTTATCCGTGGTCATCCACAAGAAGAAACAAAACTAGACGGTACTGTTCCAGTAAAACCAAAAGATGGAAAATGGGTTAAAATGTCCAACGGTGCCTACAAAGCCGTGATTGACCAAGACATTTGGCAGCTGTTTATTGATGGCAAAATGATGACAAACGCCCGCTGGCCAAATTCCTTATGGTCTGACAAAACCATATTCGACAATAAGTACTGGGCCCATTCGTCTACAAAATCGACTCGCGGGCTTATGATTGACAATGGACAGCACAAGCTGGCCGAGAGTGGCTTGGATGCGACTGGTGCAATGGCCGTGTTGAATGTTGGGAGTTTCTGCACTTTCACTAAAAAAGTATTAAAGCACAAGAAAGGTATGGGACTCGGATAATTGATAGTCGTACCACAATGAAATATTATTTTTACTTTGAAGAAGCAGCAGACTTTTACTGGGGAAATTAAGTAGAAGAATGTGTAAAAGAGACAAGCTAAGATGATTCAACTCAAACATTATGAATCTCACTTTCATACACTTTTGAAAAAATCGAGCCGCCGTTATTGAATTTTACCCGACTCCAATCCACAATGAATCTTCTTTAATTTTACCTGTTCACGCCCCCTTTTAGCTTTTCTTTACGAATTTTGTTTTCGTCTACACCATAGTTCTTTAAGTTTTAAGTATATTCTCTGATCATAATAAGAGCTTCAGTTGCCAGTTTGAAATTAAGCTTGAGAGTGACTCAAGAACAATCAGTATCGACCGATCGTTAGCTGGATCGTGTGGGCATGGCCGTGAAAATCTTAATTCTAACTTACTGCCGTTGTTGTACTTTCAGAAACACCTGACAGGTTTACTTATGAAGATGATTTCGGTTCTTCGTTGAATTTTAAGCCTAAAAACAACCAATATTTCTTAGAAGATAAACTCGAGTTTCTGGATAATCCAGGAGAGTGGTTCTACGACAAATCAAGCAAAACGTTATACGTCATGACTCTAAGTGGAAGCTCGCCTGAAGGAAGTGACGTCAGAGGAAAGGTACATGGTTGCCATAACAACATATTATGCATATATTCACTTAAATGCATCCATGACCAGGGTCAACTCGAAAATTTAGTTCTCATATTTTCTGATCCAAAAAGTATGACCAGTTTTGTTATTTAAGACTATATTTGGCATTGAAACTGTTTCATGTCGTCTGTTGAAACGGTTGGCAAGGATGGACATGAATTGAAACTTGATGGGCTAAATTTTGCTTTGCTTGCAAAAATCACCAAAACATTATTATGGTTGGTGCTCCTTGATAAAATTCATTTGATTTCTGTTTCATAACTCTACAAAAGCATTTTGTGTATGAGTAATGACTTTAGCATAGAACTGACCTAAAACAGCAATAGAGAGATTAAGATTCGCGTTTATCGCAAACGGCAAACGTCAGACTCAAGTTACGAATTTCTCAGAATAGAAAATAAGCAGATAAAAACAGTCTTGAACGATTCCTATGGTTAAAACTGGCATAAAACTACTTCTTTTTGTGTAGAAGCAATAAAAAGTAAACGGAAATTAAGGGGAAAACTTGGTCACGTGGTACAAATTCACGTTTGCCGTCTGGCGTAAACGTGAATCTTAATCTCTCTAATATCGTAGTCGTACCCATTGACGCGTCATAGTTTTGCGCGTACTCTAAGACTGTCTTCACACTATACTGGATAAGTTTTGGTGCCGATGCGAAAAGCTATCTCTTGTATAGTGTGAACAGCAACGGCCCGGGACTGTAGCAAGTCGTTTACACACATCGAACATCGCCCCAGAGTTGTTGGCCGAGAGGGCTTGGTGCAATAAATTCGTACTAGTTCTCACTCCTGAATATTTACTTAGGTTAAAGGGGTTTCCAGTCCTCGCTTTTAATAAAAGCGAAGCTTGAAGCGTGAGCGAGCGGAGCCCCATAGCTAAGAAAATTTCGTTATCTATCCGTCCGTGAAAATTTGATAGTCAGTTGAACGAAAGCCCGTAAGCCCGTACGCCAGAAAACTCTTTGGGGGTGGTACTAAGTAGACTCTGCAAGGCCGGGTGACGGGGAATCCAAGACATGAAGCATGAGTTTGTCTTGCCGAAAGATTATCCAGTTGGGGGTAGCTAATGAAGTTTTTCTAGTGTAAGAAAGCCGATTCTTTCTTTCGACATGATTTTTGATTTTTTCTACATTGACGTGGATAATAGAGAAAGAGCTCCAAAGCGTGGCACAGAAATATTCCATAAGTAACTCTCCCCTTTACATATCGGCGCGGCTTCGCTCCGTTACAGAAATCGCGCCAAAATCACCGTTCGTGTGAGTGACCAGAAGCCCTATCTGATATGGTTTTGGTGCCGGCGCAAAAGCTCTAAGGTGTGGTTACTGACCTTTTTTTAATGTCACTCCATTCAGGTACAAACCCTCGCCTTTACAATCACCGACAGCACTTATTTACTCATTAAAGATCTGACGTTCTTCGCGACCACGTTGGATGCCAGGTCAAACATCGACAAACTGGAATTAAACTCGCTTCACTTCAAGTTCCCGACATACAGTCGGCGCATGCTCCATGAGACCGACCCTCCTAAGTGGACCAAGGTGTTTGCTGGGCAGGGTAGTATCAGGATCTATAACAACACCTTTTACGGAACAGACGGAATCGCTCTTGAGTATGAGGGTGTAAATGATACTGTGGAGAACAATCTGTTTGAGTACAATGACTGGAGCGGTGCAAACATGGTCAAAGCACAAGGAGGTATGAGAATAAGAAACGGGAGTCAGAGGCATTTTCAACCCTGTCCTAGCAACGGCGCAGGGAATCCGTAGAGTATTTTGACGCCCCCAGGGGTACCGTTCCATAGTCACGGTGGCCCGTTCAGGTATATGAAAGGGTAGGAATTTCACTAGTCGAAGTGTATGAAAGGGAAGGAAAGTCTGTGAAAAAATCGAGAAAATTTTACGGGGTTTGTAATTTATCACTCAAATCAAGAGAGAATGAGCTAGCTCGCTCTTGTCCATATTTATGAGACAATTCATTCACAGTAGTCATTTTAATAACTGATGTAAAAATTCTAAACTAGGTTTGTGAAAAGGGTACTCATTCGTCAATGGAAATTATACGAAAATTATGGGTACCTTTTTTGTCAAATATGGTATATAAAAGGGAAAGGGGCTGGACCTCGGGGCGGAGTCTCCTCGTATAAAACTTTGTAGAGTACACTCCCCAGGTTTATCTCATGAAATATGATAACATTTCGTAAACTTTGGGGCCCACCGTATTTACGATGGTGAGAGAAGCAAGATCCCCGTAAGATTCGTTGTTCATATTTCTTTTCATTCTCTGTCAACGTGGTGCCCAACGCTCCCTTCACAAGTGGACAGATTTCCCTTAAGCAGTAACGCCCGATTGCCAAGTTTAAGGTTTTTTCTTTACTTTATTATTTGTAGGGGCTGGAACGGTGGTGTCTCAAAGCCGTGGCGACAAATTCATTAGAAATACCCTGCGGAACAATGGAGCTAGCGTTGGATTCCGAACCGGTTACGCATCCAAAGCAAAGCTAAACGACATCAGCCGAACTTGCTGGGGGATGCTGCAACACGACGGTGCAGGGATACAGTCTCAAATAAAGCGCCAAACTAACCTTGTTATGGAACAAAACTGGGTTTATGACAGCCCCAAATATGGACTTCGCTTTGACGGAGGCCCTCCTAAGATCGGAAGACACGGTACTATGAGAAGAAACGTGATCCGGAAGACCAATGGGATGATGGTGAAAGGTGACGAACATACGGTCGATCATAACTTGATTTTCCACAAGTTTACCAAGTCTGGTGATCACGATGGACAGGGAAGTAAATGTAACTTGTGTGTTCTNCAAGATCCCCGTAAGATTCGTTGTTCATATTTCTTTTCATTCTCTGTCAACGTGGTGCCCAACGCTCCCTTCACAAGTGGACAGATTTCCCTTAAGCAGTAACGCCCGATTGCCAAGTTTAAGGTTTTTTCTTTACTTTATTATTTGTAGGGGCTGGAACGGTGGTGTCTCAAAGCCGTGGCGACAAATTCATTAGAAATACCCTGCGGAACAATGGAGCTAGCGTTGGATTCCGAACCGGTTACGCATCCAAAGCAAAGCTAAACGACATCAGCCGAACTTGCTGGGGGATGCTGCAACACGACGGTGCAGGGATACAGTCTCAAATAAAGCGCCAAACTAACCTTGTTATGGAACAAAACTGGGTTTATGACAGCCCCAAATATGGACTTCGCTTTGACGGAGGCCCTCCTAAGATCGGAAGACACGGTACTATGAGAAGAAACGTGATCCGGAAGACCAATGGGATGATGGTGAAAGGTGACGAACATACGGTCGATCATAACTTGATTTTCCACAAGTTTACCAAGTCTGGTGATCACGATGGACAGGGAAGTAAATGTAACTTGTGTGTTCTTAGGTAAGTTATTCGCCACTTTAGAAAAAAGAAGGAGACTGGCGCCGAAATATTCCTGGGATCGTTACTGACGTGTCGGTCAGCTATTGGCCAATTTTTTTTTTTATCCCTATTAACAGTCCCAGAAGTCTTTGCGAAAGTTAACTCGCTTTCCTTCTCGTTTATTATTAAGTGAAATGTAGCTGAGTTCAGTGTAATTTGTTTAACCCTTTAATCCTTAATATCCACAAACAAATTCTCCAGACTAATCTACATACATTTCCTTAATGAATTAGTTGAGATAATTTGATGAAACATCAAAGCACTTTTCCCCTCGGTGATAACTTTTTTAAACTCTAATGAACTCCCATAACTCTGGAACTGGAGGTGGAATTCAATTTTTTTTAAGTCGATCGTTGCAATCTCCCGCCCTTTTCTCTCCCTAGCTGCTATTCCAGACGTTTAGATATTAATTAAAGGGTTGTACGAAATGAAGAGTGGAGAAAAAAAGGAGGGAAAAAGGAAGAAAAAGAAGAAGAGTGGAAGTAAAGGAGTTCCTTCTCCGTCTCTACCTGCGACCCCCCCCTCCCCCCTTCTCCATCCACCCTTTGCTGTTTTTTCCTACTCAATTTTTTCTGCGCCGTCAGTGCTATCTGAAAGACTGAGCAGACTATTCAAAACCCACCTCACCCTCCCCCCCGGTGGTTGTTCGCCCGGGCCATCTTGTTCAGAATAAAAGGTGTTTTAGCTCAAGACTACAATCTCCCCTCAGATACGTGAGGCAAAACCCTATTGCAATCAATCACAACACGGTGGTGGAGTACAATGCAGCAGATATCGCCAATGGCGGGGTGCATAACAAGAAACTTTATCCCATGAGTGATAAACTCCTAGGAAACGTCATAGGAGATGTGCGAAAACAGCTAATGGACCCAGATAACATGGACTTCAGACCAAAACAGGGTTCGTCGTACATTCAAGACGACGTAGGACCTTATAATTACGAAGAGTCGAAAACCAAATACTGGATACCAGGCAGAATTCAGTACAAGGTAACAGGGGGCCGTTTTTGTCTAATATCCTGTGGATTTATTTATTATTATGCTGTCAGTACACGGTAATCCTAAAAGCTGCTGGGCAGTTGTTTTCTGTGGTACGGATTATTCCTTATAAGGTCTTTATTTAACAAATTGACAACAATTTTCCTTCGTTTGTATTACTCGTTCATAGAAATTAGGATCATTGTACGACCTTATACGTTTCTGGGACACTACCCACCTCCCCCTTCCCTTAAGCCAACATTAACACTTACTTCTCACTTAGGGCAAAATTTTGGCTTACGGGAGGGGTAGGTGGGCAGTTTCCCAGAAACGCAAAATGATCCGAAAATTGTTGTCGATTTGTTTTTTACCATAACACTGACAATTTTCGTAGCCTGGATACAGTCGCCCCCTCCCCTCATAACATAAATTGGACTAAGGGGAGGCTATATGCAAAATATCATTTTCATTGAAGTTATGTGGAAAAATTGTGCTCAAGAAAGGGAAACGCACTCGCGCCAACACTCGTCATTTTCATGGTCTATGCGCATGCTCAGATCGATCATTGCTCTCGACCAATCAGCGCGAGAGAAATCCTTTGTCAATTTCTCACTTTTCCAATGCTAATTTAAATTTTCCTTTCTGGCAATTCAAGGCCAGCAATCCTGTTCCACCGGACGGCGCCACTAAAGTAAAAGCAGCCAGCAGAAATGTGCTGATGTGGCTGAACAGCTTTGGGGGTAGAGCCCATGTACTCTACCTGGGTACCTCTCCAAATGCCCTGAAACAACAGGGTGTGGCCAGAGGTGAGCAGAACGTAGTGAAGTTGAGGAAACCGTTAGAAAGCGGCAAGGAGTATTTCTGGAGAGTCGATACCAGGATTAACAACAAGGTTACCTATAAAGGGAATGTGTGGTCGTTTAAGACCATCTAGAATTGAGTTGTTAGATGGAGAGAGGTTTGTTGGTGTTGGGTGAAAATGCTACCTTTGAAATAAAGATGCTGTAAAAAAAATAAATAAATAAAAGGAGATAACATGGACTTCAGACCAAAACAGGGTTCGTCGTACATTCAAGACGACGTAGGACCTTATAATTACGAAGAGTCGAAAACCAAATACTGGATACCAGGCAGAATTCAGTACAAGGTAACAGGGGGCTGTTTTTGTCTAATATCCTGTGGATTTATTTATTATTATGCTGTCAGTACACGGTAATCCTAAAAGCTGCTGGGCAGTTGTTTTCTGTGGTACCGATTATTCCTTACAAGGTCTTTATTTAACAAATTGACAACAGTTTTCTTTCGGTTTGTATTACTCGTTCATAGAAATTAGGATCATTGTACGACCTTATACGTTTCTGGGACACTACCCACCTACCCCTTCCCTTAAGCCAACATTAACACTTACTTCGCACTTAGGGCAAAATTTTGGCTTAGGGGAGGGGTAGGTGGGCAGTTTCCCAGAAACGCAAAATGATCAGAAAATTGTCGTCGATTTGTTTTTTACAATAACACTGACAATTTTCGAGGACAATTTTCGTAGCCTGGATACAGTCGCCCCCTTCCCTCATAACATAAATTGGACTAAGGGGAGGCTATATGCAAACTATCATTTTCGTTGAAGTTATGTGGAAAAATTGTGCGCAAGAAAGGGAAACGCACTCGCGCCACCACTCGTCATTTTCATGGTCTATGTGCATGCTCAGATCGATCATTGCTCTCGACCAATCAGCGCGAGATAAATCCTTTGTCAATTTCTCACCTTTCCAATGCTAATTTAAATTTTCCTTTCTGGCAATTCAAGGCCAGCAATCCTGTTCCACCGGACGGCGCCACTAAAGTGAAAGCAGCCAGCAGAAATGTGCTGATGTGGCTGAACAGCTTTGGGGGTAGAGCCCATGTACTCTACCTGGGTACCTCTCCAAATGTCCTGAAACAACAGGGTGTGGCCAGAGGTGAGCAGAACGTAGTGAAGTTGAGGAAACCGTTAGAAAGCGGCAAGGAGTATTTCTGGAGAGTTGATACCAGGATTAACAACAAGGTTACCTATAAAGGGGATGTGTGGTCGTTTAAGACCATCTAGAATTGAGTTGTTAGATGGAGAGAGGTTTGTTGGTGTTGGGTGAAAATGCTACCTTTGAAATAAAGATGCTGTAAAAAAAATAAATAAATAAAAGGAAAAATATGCCATTTAAGAAGTTGAGTCTAGTTGAAATGATTTGTTTTGTTTTGTTTCCATTCCCGTTTCCATAAACTTCTCCAATTGTTTTATAGGTCTCCTTACTTTCTATAGTTTGTTTAGTTAAGCCGCAAATGCTTTTGGGAAAAATTATTTTGATAGTTATCCTCACGGTGTTTGATAAGTTTGCGAAAGATATAATTTATTGGGAATAGTAAACAAACATATTGAAAATGAAACGAAAGTAAGACGGACCTTATCTTCAATACGAGACAAAGAACCGTCAATAACAATTAACACACGAATCCCTTAAAGCGGCTCTTGCAAAGACAGGGAAACATGTCTTACTTAACAAAGGTA